TGTAAATTTTTTGGTTTTGATTTTGAATTCAGGATTTGAAGGAAGCGACGGTGAAGTCGTTAGGGCTTCAAGCCGATGACCTCAAGATTTCTGGTTTTGATATAAGAGATGCGCGGGTGGGGTATTCGGTGGCGTACGAATTCCACGTTGAGGTCGACAATAAGGTGCTTCCTTTCAAGCTTTTGGAGGACATTAACAGGTGGGATTATGCCGATTTGCCGATATTTCGGATGGAGGAACCGGATGGACCTGGCGATGAGAAGGGGATAGTTGAGAAGAGCAGATTGGAGAGTAGTTTGCCGCCAGTTTTGGCTCCGTTTCAGCTCGCTGGGCCGATGGAGCTTTGGATTCAGGACGCCAGGGATATGAGGATCTCTCTTCCCGTAAGTGTTTTTGATGAATTGATCTCATAGGAATTGGATTAGACTTGAAATTTGGACGCTTTTGATTCTCTCATAAGTCATTCTGTTAGTAGTAGTAGTAGTTTTTTTTTTTTTGGTTGCCAGAGTTTTAGGAGGTGATTTTGTAATATTCATAGTGTGTAGGGTCCCGATTATTTTTTGTCTGTCAATGTTTGGATGAATTAGTTAGGATTCCTGAGAATGGGATAACGATCATAAGAACATCTTAAAGTAGTTTTTGGATTTTCAATTGGGACGGAGATCATTTGAATTCCAGCCCCTAAATAGGCTTCTGAAATCACGCAAAAATTATCAGATTTTTTTGAAACCCCAAGGTCTGGATTTGGAAGATCCTGTGTGGCTTGTGGAAATGATCCCTTTTGGAATTTAGGCTTTCGTATTAGATTCTGGGGTGGTAAGTGGTTTGGTCTTAAATAATTGATTCAAACATTTAGGATTGGAAATATCGAGGATTTTGTAATTCTCCATTTTAAGATGGCTTGATTTGTGATCTGCAACCCTGATCTCCAAAAACAGGGATTTCTAAACTTTTATTAGAGGTGTTGAACATGCTTTTATCCATTGTGATACGAATCTAGACACGATTCTCTTTATTTTCTTTTGGGGTTTTAATTTATAATGGCGCTGACTATCGGACCAAATTCAAACCTGCAGCATGATGTGGATGCTGGTGTGTTGAAGAAAGTAATATTAGCAGAAGGTGCTGTGGTTACGGTGAAGGGTGCGAGATCAGTTAGCTTGCGCCACCCACTTGATCTGCCGCTGCCTCTAAACCGAACTGACAATGCTTTTGCATCTGGTCTGCTCACCCTCGCTGAATGGCTGCACCATGCTTCTCGCACTCAAAGCACCCCACTGCTCTCACTCCGCATTGTTGGCCCAACCTCTATAACAGCCCCCTCGTCATCATCACCCTCTTCTAGTAACAGGCTCAAGCTTAAGCGCCTCGCGCCAGGTCTTGTGGAGCTGTCCTCACCATCTAAAACCAAAGTTATTGAGGCCCTTTCCTCTCTTGATCTCAAGGACGAAGCAAGTTCCCTTTTGAGTCCAAGTCAGTTCACCACTCTATGGCCTCTTGTTTCCATCAACGGCTCCAACTCGAACTTGATTGGTTTTGAAACACTGCTCGCTTCCGTTCTGGGTTCTAAGGCTCACAAGAAAGGCTCCTTCAAGCTGTTGAAAGCAGATGTATCAGCTCAGACATTCGTGAAGATTGGTTTTGCAGTAGAGAAGAAGTTGAAGGAAGGGGATGGTGTTGAGTGGGAAGGTTTTCCCGAGTGGCGGACAAAGCCCGAGTCAGTAAAGATGCATTTTGAGGTTCTTGCTAAGGTAGATGGTGAGAAGGTTGTGCCAGAGAAAGTAGTGCCGGTTAAGCCCGTTCTTGTGGAGGATACCGTGGCGCCTAACTTGCTTATGGGGAACGTGACCATGTCAAAGACTCCTATCTTTCACCCTCCTTCAAACCCCTTCACCCAGTAAATTATGGGTAGAAGTTTTTGTTTTTTTCTCCAGGTCACTGGAATGAAATGTAAAGATAAAGGGTGTGTATGTGTGAGCGATTTTTTTTTCCTTTCAGAAATTAGATTATACGTGATGAATGATGGCATACACCTTATAGAATGAAACTGTAACACTTGGGGACTTCATTGTGGAAGGCTCCATTTTCGCCTGAACTAGTGGGAGTTAATTTCATCCTTCTCATGGTTGGTTGAATTCCAATTCTGGGAGGACCTTATGTATATTTTTTTCATAGAAGAAACCAGTATAATAGTTATATTCCAAAAGAGTGACAAGATTAGTAGTTGAGTGAGATATTATATGGTTTCACTTTTATTTGAAAAACCCCTTTTGCAGTTCTCATTAGGCAGGAGAAATGAATGTCCAACAGCTCAATGGATTAATGGTATAGAACAAAGAATTCACACTTCCATAAATTATTTAGAATTTGGAGTAAGAAACTCCTTTATTCTTTCTTAGACATCTTTAATGTAACTTTTCATCTTAACTTATCCCAATGATGCATTGATGATGTAGATTATCTGGTGCTGAAATAAGCCATTTGATCATATGAAAGGTTCATTTTCTTCCATGTGGTCTTAAATACAACAGGAAACTACTCACTATCAGATAAAATTACAGAACAAGCGTTCTCTCTGCATATTCCTTTATTTCCTGACGAATGATATTCCCTTTTGAATACTTGCTGCTAACTCCTTTTTCGCTTTCTCCAGTCCAACCCTGTTAAGACATATAAGGTAAACAGTTTAAATATATACATAGATTATCCATTATCTTAACACGAACAAAAGTTGTTTTTCTACCTCTCGTATTCATTTAGAGGCCCAAGTTGAAAGACTTCCTCAGCTCCATTACGGCCGAGCCGAACCTTGGATGCAAAGAAAGGAAGCTCCGTCACCTGTCATTAGAACAATTATGCTCAATCATTAGAAGTTTAGAACTACTGATATCATGAAAATGCTGCATAATAAACCTTGGACGACGAGTACCTCGGAAGCCACAAAAGCGCATTCCACAACACCGGCATCTCCTCTCAATCCTCGAAGACATGCATCTGCAAATTTAACAGCTGCGTATGCCTGCAGATGATTCGTAGTTGTAAGATTCACATTACCCTCCAATTACAGTCCAAAGTTTAGTACTCAATACATGATGTAGCATTTGGAGCAATTAGTAGCTTACCATTGACAGTGTTGCAGAGCCAGCCCCAGCTTTTGCCTGCAACAAATGAGAATAATTTCTCTCTTTTAACTCATGTTTACGTATTTTGGAATTATATGCAAATAGAACACTGTCAAGCAGACGTTTTATGCTTGGCAGCTAAATTTACAGAATACATGATACCAAGCTGCAATATCAAATCTAAACAGATTGATTGACTTACCTCAACAACTTCTGTTCCACCGTTCTGAATGCGGTTTGTCAGGTATTCTACTTCGTCGGGGGTAAAGGCGGAGGGAGGCTTGACCTGAGACCGGAAAGGTATTTTACCAGTGACTTCTCAAGGCCAAGTTTTTCTATTTTTGTGTTTATAAGAGGGAAAAAAAAAACAGAAAGACCTAAAAATATTGAAACCTGTGACAGAAGAGGCAAGATTGTCACTCCTGCATGACCACCAACAACTGGCACATCAACATCCCTTGGATCAAGTCCCAGAACTTCTGCCTGCAATGAAATCATGAAAAACCCGAAAAAGAACGCCATGAAATGTCTTTTAAGTAACATTTTTAAGGACGCGGCAATGTTTGTCAGTCACATAATCAATTTCCAAACATTCCTCAGCAGCATGGCAGACTAATTATCTTCCACCATAGTGGGAAAAAAGCCAAAAAAAAAAAATAGACACAAAAAATCGTCTTCTTACAACAAAAGTATTTGCTCTGACGACATCGAGCATCGTCACTCCCAAGAGTCTCTTTGGATCATAAGTTCCGGCTTTCTTCAAAACCTCGGCCGCAATTGGCACGGTGGAATTGACTGGATTACTGATCAAGTTGACAACAGCTCCGGGGCAGCTCTTTGCAATTCCTTCACAAAGAGTTCTAACAATCCCAGCATTGATGTTGAAAAGATCATCCCTTGTCATCCCAGGCTTCCTTGGCACACCAGCAGGTATGATCACAAGGTCCATTCCTGTCAGAGCATTCTCAAGCTGTGCCTGCCCCAGAAAACCTCTCACCTAAAAAGAAATAAAAAATAATCAATTTTTTTTTTTTTTTTACCTAAAAATATTGAACTTTTTAAGCAAAAAACAGAAAAGCGGTTCTTAAATAAAAGAAGATATTTATATACATATATATTATTACCACAGCACCAGTATCCATGTGACTGATATCAGCAGTGACACCAGGAGAATTAACAACATCGTAGAGATGAAGAACTGAAACCAATGGGTTTATTTTCATAAGCATTGCTAGAGGCTGGCCAATCCCTCCAGCAGCACCCAGAATGGCAACTTTGAAGCCTGGAGCCCCACCTTTGGCTCTGCAGTTTGCTCTTCTCACCCCAAAACTCTCTTCCATCTATTTTTGCACCACAAAGAAGAATATATATATATATATATATATATATATGTGTGTGTGTGTGTGTGTCCAAAAGTAAGCCATGAAATACTCTACCATGTTTAGTTCAAATCACAAAACGAAAAGGGAAACAAACCTGGGAATTTGAAGGGTAAAGATGAGCTGAGATCTTTGCAATGCGTTGATTGGTTTGTTCCATTTTTTGTGTTTTCTTCAGAGAATGGGAGGTGGGAGAATAAGGGTGATATGATGTAGTGCAAAGGATATAAAAAACCGCATGAAATGTATATAAATAAGTGAACAGAATTGAATCTTTTTGAGGGGGAAAACAAAGAGATAAATCCCTTAAAAGAAAAATAAGGAGATAATAAGAAAAAAAAGTGTCATACATGAGGAGGTGGAGGCTATAAATTGACCTAATCGTTGGAATATTTTTTTTTGTGTGGAAACTAAAAATTCAAAAAAAGACGCTTATCCTATCTCATTTTTTGGTTGTGGTTCTCATAGTTTTAACTATGAACTTCACTCCATTTGCCAAAATTTCTTGTTTTTTTGGAATTTGATTAAGGGCCAAGATGTGAGCCATTCGTTACATTGATTGGTGTGATCTAGTGATGTTCACAGGGGTCCCAATTTTATATGGCTACAAACAAAAATGCTTGAAAGAGACACGTGGCAACAATTGCGTAGCTGGGGATTCCTGGATTATTCAGATGATAACTTGGGGGTGGATTAAAACACGTGTAAAAGGAAGATCTTCTGCGGGGAGGATTACCCCATAGCATACACCCCTTGTAAAACGTGAAGGAAAGTATTTAGTGTTGTTGGTATCAGTTCACTAACTACTACAATATATACAGTATGGAAATTGGTGTCAAACTCGAACGCCAATATCAACCAAAAGAATATTATAGCTTTGAAAAATTAAGCTTATTATATCTCTTTGGACGACATACAACTTATCAAGGAAGAAACAACCAAAGATGGTGAGGTAAATGGTGTGTTTGCATATGCTTATTTAGGGAAATAATGCTTGAGAAAAAATAAGGTGTGATCATGCAAAGAAGATTGAAGGCTGAAGCTATTAGAAATATACTGTAAACTTTAGATCTATAATATCTAAAGATCTTAGAACATCATGATTCTCACAGAATTATAATTATAAGCATACCTTAACTCATTGCTTTGATTTGAAAAGATCACTTGCATAGAGAATTTGAAAGAGAAGTAAAATCTAAGTTTCTCTCTCTAGATCCTCTGTAATCTTTAATGTATTTTTCTGATGGAAAGAAGATATACAAATTATTAAGTAGAGAGAGGACTAGACTCTTATATTTATAGACCATGAATTAGTGTCTTCCATCAAGCACACACCCCTTCATAAGAGTTGTAACTCGTCATGGCCAATAGGATTTTAGTATTAAGATAATTATTAAACCATTAAATAAATAATATTAATAGGATTTTATTTTATTATGTGGGCCACATAATTCTTACATTCTCCCACTTGGCCCATATAATATTCCTGACATAGTTTAATAGTAGAACAATAATGTGCACAAGTATGTTATACTAACAATTTTCCTTTAATTGACTACCACGTAATATCATAATTAAACAGAAAATATAATGTGAGCCATGACGGTTGTGCATTACTAAATCAACACACTCCCTTCCATGTGCTACAACATTAGACCTCTATTTAAAATGATTCATACTTGAGAGGTATAATAATGTCCACTTTAATATCTACGTTAAGACTATCCTGTCAAACATTTATCTATAACAATCATGTATACAACATTGAAAACAAGATATACTGGGAACAAAAGTGAGCTCATAGTGTAATATCATTAAACAAAACAAACATAATACAATAACATTAATGACGTCTAATAACACCCATTCTTTCAACATGTTCATTAAATGTTTTGGGTGATAATCCTTTTGTTAAAGGATCTGCAATCATAAGATTGGTACTAATTTGTTTAACTGACACTCTACGTTCCTGAACTTCTTACTTGACGACTAAGTACTTAATATCCATATGTTTCGGACTATCTGAATACTTATCGTTTTTGACAAAGAAGACTGCCGCGGCACTATCACAATAAATTTTCAGTGGCCTGGCTATACTGTCAACAACCCCAAGTCCTGAAATAAAATTTCACAGCCATAAATCATGACTTGTGGCCTCAAAGCACGCCACGAACTCAGCCTCTATGGTGGATGCAACAATGACAGACTACTTCGCACTCTTCCATGAGATTGCTCCGCTGGCCAAGAGGAACATATAACCAAATGTAGATTTTCTACTATCAGCCATTCGGCAAAATCTGAATCTGACTAACCGCCCACTTCTAGATGATCACATCTTCTATAAGTAAGCATCCTTTGTTCCTTGCAAGTACTTGAGAACTTTCTTTGCAGCTTTCCAATGATCTATTCTTGGGTTACTTTGATACCTGCGTAACATCCCAACAACAAAACTAATGTCGGGTCTAGTGTAAGTTTAAGCATACAACAAGCTCCCAATGACAGATGCATAAGGAATGTTTCTCATCTGCGCTCGTTCCAATTCATTCTTTGGACATTGCATATGGCTAAATTTGTCTCCCTTCTGAATCAGAACTATACATGCTGAACATTTGTCCATCTTAAATTTCTCTAAAACTTTGTTAATATAGCCTTTCTGAGACAACCCTAAAATTCCTTGTGATCTATCACGAAATATTTCAATTCCTATCACATAAGTTGCCTCGCCCATGTCTTTCATTTCAAAGTTCTTAGAGAGAAATTTCTTAGTTTCATGTAATAAACCAAAGATCATTAGCAACAAGTAAAATATCATCAACATATAGGACTAAGAAAATAAATTTACTCTCACTGACCTTCATGTATATATACCGATCAACGGTGTTTTCTTTAAAACCAAAAGAAGTAATGATATCGTTAAACTTAAGATACCATTGTTGGGAAGCTTGTTTAAGTCTATATATTGACTTCTTTAATTTACACACCATGTGCTCCTTTCCTTTACTTGAAAAAGTCTTCAAGTTGGTCCATATAGACCTCTTCTTCTAAATTCCCATTAAGAAAGGCAGTTTTCACATCCATTTAGTGTAACTCTAAATTGAAATGAGCCACCAATGCCATAATAATTCTGAGTGAATCTTTCTTAGAGACTGGAGAAAAAGTCTTTTTGTAGTCAATGCCTTCTTTCTAAGTAAAATCATTGGCAACAAGTCTAGCCTTGTATCGTTCGATGTTGCCTTTTGAGTAGTGTTTGGTCTTAAAAACCCATTTACACCTGACTTTCTTATAACCTTCAGGCAACTCAATAAGGTCCCAAACTTGATTTTGATCCATAGATTTTAACTCATCTTCCATGGCATTAAACCACTTAGCAGAATCGATACTTTCCATGGCTTGTGAAAATGAAACTGGATCTAAAATCGAGCCATTATCGATTTCCAAGTCAATTTCTGAATCTTGTAGATAAACCACATAATCATCAGGAATAGCAGATTATCTTTCTCTTTGAGATTTTCTTAATGTTATCCCTTGTGGTTTAACTACTATAGGTTTATCAAGGACAACATCATGTAGTGATGGGTCACTCACTTGTCGTTCTTGAACATTGTTAGACTGTACAACAATGGCAGGAACAACTTTAAAATTTACAAGTAAAGGTACTTCTACCCTAATTTCATTAATGACCACATTACGTGGTTCTCCACTCCCACTAATTTGACCACTTTCAATGAACGTAGCATTTCCAGATTCTAACATTCTCGTACTATGGGTAGGACAATAAAATCTATACCCTTTGAATTTTTCAGGATAACCAATGAAATAACCACTGGTTGTCTTAAAATCCAATTTCTTTTCATGTGAATTATAAATCTTAACTTCAACAGGGCAACCCCAAACATGCAGGTGTCGTAAACTAGGTTTCCTTCCTGTTCATATCTCAAAAGGAGTTTTCAGAACTGCTTTACTAGGAACCCTATTTAGAATATACATGGCGGTCTTTAATGCATGCATCCACAAAGACAAGGGTAAAGATGAGTAACTTAACATACTCCTAACCATATCCATTAATGTACGGTTATGCCTTTCTGCTACACCATTTTATTGTGGTGTACCTGGCATAGTGTATTGCGCACATATGCCTCATTTTTCTAGGAATTTAGCAAATGGACCTAGACATTATCCTATCTCATCATACTTTCCATAGTATTCACCACCTCTATCTGACCTTACAATTTTCACCTTTTTATCTAATTGCCTCTCAACCTCATTAATGAATATCTCAAGAGCTTCAACAGATTGAGATTTTTCATGCAATAGATAAAGATAGCCATAACGTGAAAAATTATCGATAAAAGTGATAAAATACTTTTCTCCACCAAAAGATGGAGTATCGAAAGGTCCACATATGTCGGTGTGTATGATTTCAAGAAGCTGTGTACTTTTTGTGGCCCCTTTCTTAGTGTGGTTGGTTTGCTTTCCTTTAATGCAATCAATGCACACTTCGAGATCAGTAAAATTTAAACTCGGAAGAATTTCATTCTTTACTAATCTCTCTATCCTTTCTTGGGATATGTGACCCAAACATTTATGCCACAAGTAAGCAGAGTTTTCATCAACTAAACTCCGTTAGTTCTAACATTTTGATGCATGGTTAACAAAGTTTCAGCAAAATCAGTATCAAGCTTCAGCTTATATAAACCATCATAAAGGATTCCAAAACCATTAAACTTATTATCTTTATATAAACTAAATGATATAGATCCAAACTTACAATAAAATCCTGCTACATCAAGTTTTGGTAAAGAAATTAAATTGCAAGAAAATGTAGGTATATAAAGAGTTTGGTACAAGTCAAGATAATTTTCAGTATCTAAAATTAAGCGATAAGTGCCAATGTCTTCCACTGGAGCTTTATCTCGATTTCCCATAAAAATAAAGCTTTCATTTATTTTTATGGTTTGGATAGAAAGGAATCCCTTTATGGTGTTGGAAATATGAGTAGTTAAACCCGAATCAATCTACCAAGTGTTATAAGGAACTTCAGTTAAATTTGATTCGAAACATACTAAGGCACAAGGCTTACCTTTCTTTTCGAACCAAGCCTTTCGTTTCTGGCGATCTTTCTTTAAGTGTCCTTTTTTGTTGCAAACACAGCACTTAATGTTGTGTTCCTTCTTGTGGATTTGATAAGCCTGAGTTGACTCATTCAAGTTATGCAAACCTTTCATTCTTTTTCTTTCCAGGCTTCGTTTTAGAGCACTTTCCAGGCTTCTTGGACATAATAATTACCAACAGTTATTTTCATCAATTATAGAAATATTAATCGACCTTTGGGTGATTCCTAAGTTCTTATAATAGATGAAATTCAATAACCCATAATCAGTAAATAACATAACGTCATTTCAATTAGAAGCATCAAAATTCATGAGTCATTGAATGTTGTTTCTTAATTTGAAAATTACTTATTAAATTTGGCCACTTTAGTGACTAACAAAACACAAT